ACCCACTGACATAAGGTAATGCTCTATTTTAAGAGCAATAATTATCTACTCTCATTCTGAACTTTTGCAATGTGTGCAAACTCTTTTATTAGCAGTAAATGCTACTAAAGCTGATGTGCATTTCTGAATCTACCGGCTTAATCTTATTTAGACAAATTAATCTTTAAGCATCCACTGTGTCAATGCAATCTTTAAAGCCTAGATATCAGAACATGAGGAAACCAGTCGCAACAATCTTTTTGGTCGGCAGGGAGTGTGTGTGTGTGTGTGTGTGTGTGTGTGTGTGTGTGTGTGTGTGTGTGTGTGTGTGTGTGTGTGTGAGAGAGAGAGAGAGAGAGAGAGAGAGAGAGAGAGAGAGCAGATCCCTTCCGCTCCCCTAGAATGCACAACACTGTCTAATTAACAGACTACAGACAGAAAGACTGGAGAGACGACCTCCTCCTTCAACATGTATTATTATTGCATTTCAGTGTTTATTGGTTATATATTACGGCATTTTTCGTGCATTATTTTTTTTTACTTTAATCATATAATATAATATAATAATCCTCTAATCAAAATAAATAAATAAATTAATTAATTAAAATAAACTGTAGCGCGTTAAATCTTGAAACATGATCGATTCTCCATTTTTATATACATTTTAAATTAATTTTCCAAAGTAATAAAGCTTTTCTAGAGATATTTGGTCATGTAAATATAATAGCCTATATAATTCAGCACACACATCTTTCATCTTGTCCTGAACTCAGCATCAGTCTCTTGTCTCCATGAGATGATGAAGAAGCTGTTATTGGTTTCCGCTCTCACACCTCATCGGAAGAATTTGATTTAGACAGAAGGTAAAGGGCAAACCTTGAACTCATTAACAGGTTAAAAGAAGGGCCACGAAACAGCACCATCCATGCACTTTTAATTCAGAGCTGAGAGAACGCGCATACACGACAGCCAACAGATGCTCAGCGTATGTAAAACAACATCGTGCATTTAAGCCCCGTCTCCTTTTATTTAATCTATTTCTTTATCTTTTAACTATTTGACTAGCTTTGTCAAAATATATATCATTTTTATAGTCGTGACGTTTTCATTTATTTATTGTTTTTATTCCAGCTTTCACGGTTCTCTCTGGATAAAAGATTAACGATCTGTTCACCGGGTAGGCAGTGTTGCTCTATTCGTACGTGGCGAAAAGCCCCAAATCTCAGCACAGAAATATCAGTGGTTTGATCAGAGCTGGGTTGAATTATCACGGGGAGAGATACAAAGGCGGCAGACAAAACGCACTCGGTTTCCCTGGTGTTTGAGTACAAACCATATTAAACACCGAGCTCCAGTTATTAGATCTGACTGAAACAGCACTGAGGAATATGAAGCAGACGTTTATGAAATCAGAGAGCATGTTTGACAAACCAAGCAGATAAGGATAATGTCTTGAAAAAGAATCGACGAGCTGAAATTGAATAATAAATAACTGTAGGGAAAGCAGTCTTACTTTTTAAAGGTAGTCTCATTTTATTGTTAATTATTACTTTTATAGCCTGAATGAATATGCTGAGGTTTTAATTATGCAATGCAAATTCGCACAGTAACTGAACTAAAAAATAATTATTGAATTGGTATTTTCTGCAGTACTACTATTGGTATTGTGTAAAACATAAATTGATTAAAATTTGTGGTTATTATAAATTAGCCTATAAAGACGTGCAAACGCGATTTGTTTATTAGCGTTGATATTTGCGACAGATAAAATTGTAGCAATGATGAAAACTTGAAAGTAGGATATACAAGCTACATATTTGTGTGTATTAAAAAAGATAGTCCTATTTACTTTTACTAAGCCCCTCTACCTTTTGTGTTGACTTCCTCATTTAAGCCTCAAAAAAGGAGGGGCTGAGCCCCTGAAATCCCCCATAATTCGCACACTGTCTCTTCACAAATATATTCAGAAGTTATTCAGCCTGTGTCTACAAACTATTCTCCTTAAGTTTTATATAACAGCCTATACGTATTTTGCGCAGTTTTTAGATTTTCTTTTGACGGATTCACGCAATATCATATTTCGCACACGCCTCTATCCCGCACTGAAATGTTTAATGTATAAGCCAACATTATACTAGACAGAGAGCGCACATTATAAATATGCATGTATTCAATTAAGGGTATTACACAGGATTTCATTTGCATAAGGATTTGGGAGCTTAACATGCCTTTTCATATTTGTGCAATAAAACTTTAATATTAACGCCTGCCCTTCAATGCCGTGGGTACTTTTATTAATAGCCTATCAGCCTACTACACCTCTATTACTACTGTAGGCTATCACTGTTCAGATCAGCTTAATAGGCCTCAACCGTGATTGTCGGAGCTGCAGCTAATTGTCCTCTAGTATATTTGTCACTCTACATAAACAGTAGCTTGCACCTGTTTTTCTTGTGACAGCTCAGACTAATGTGTAATTTTTGGCATTCGTTTTTCATTCATTGAGTAGCCTAAATATTTGGATCAGTGAACAAATGCGAGCCTTTTTTATCAGTCAAGTGTTTATCTTTGGGATTTCCAGACTTCCACAATCGGACATTATTGGACACATACAGCTAAAGCAAGTTTTATGCAAGAGATAGATTGCAAATATTTTTATTATTATTACTGCGAGCACCTAAAGGGTTTGTAATCTATATAAAAACAATTATTTAGACACGATAAGACAATTATGCAATATATTTCTGTTTTTTATAGCAAATGACTCCACTGCATCCGTAAAGCAGCCACAACAATATGCATACATTAGCCTACAATTTAAGAGCCACATACAATCAATGACACAATTTAAACAAAAATGCTTAGGATTTTAAATGCTTTCATTTACAGCGCGGATGCACCGTTCCCTGTGGTTACACTTCGCAGCAATGTATTTGGAGCTCATGATCTTGTCAAAAAGCCAGGTGTTTGTTTATAAGACACAAGCTGATAATGTGTCAGAGTTAATGCCATCTTTAATCTGCTGTGCTGCTTGGAAACACGCTTGCATTCAGGTTGTCTTATTGGAGGGTGCAGAAGCTTTCTGAAGAATAAACAAGCGCCCATGACAATTTTTCTTATCTTGCCCAGCTAACGAGGTCTTCCCACAACTTTTGGAAATAAGGGTTTTGACTGTGTCTTAATTATAATCTACTTACCATAATTAAACCCAAACACAAATTTAATACGTCTGGAAGATTTTTATTTTGCAAAGAGACTATTTTTGTTGTTTGTGCACTATGTATGATTTATGGTATGTGCAAATCTTTCAATGCTTTTTTTCAAAAATTCAAGTGCACTCTGTAAATGTGTTTTTAATTCGGATAAAACCATCTAAAATGGACCTCACACTACAACATAATTTCAAAAATATAAAGCGACATTTTCCACTGCATCTACAGCTGTGCCGCTGAAAAATCAATTTATATTTGCGTCGAACTATCATGCATATTTTGTTAAAACATGAGTCACGTGGGGGCTGTATGAATTTGTCTCCCACTGGCTTGTTCCTGAGGTCCGCTGCTCTCTAGGGCTCGAAATTAATACTGTCTCGCCAATTAAGTTCAGAGCGCCAATTAAGAGTGCTTTATGAATTCTTAGAGCAAAAACAAAAAACCAATACACCATCTCAGAAATTACAAGAAATAAATGAATTTTAAAAATAAATGTGTTCATTAAATAAACAAGACTTAAGTTTTGCAAGAGTAAATTTAATGTATTTCGTTCCTATATCCATGTTTAAACTTCAGCCTGGACTTAAGAAAAGTTTATCTTTTACTGTTAACATCATCATCTCTTATACTGGATGGAATGAATAAGTAAAACAAATATATGACCTTTTGGGATTTGGAACCAGTTGGCTTTCATATGAGGTACAAACGAGGGCGGCCATTAATAATGGATGATCCGAGAAATTCATTGTGAGTTGCTTTGCAAATACGCTCATAGAGATGTTTTAATTTTATATAGGATATATAATTATAACAATGACTATTTTTCTATGTGTCTTTTGGATGCAATCATACACGCCAAAAAACATAAAATATTTTAAAATAATAAAGAAATGCACATACATCTGAAAAATATTGATGTTTGCATTTACATTGATACGTGCAGTTTTCAGTAATCACAGCGCTCGGCAGCGCTTTATAGAACAATACAGGTTAGAGTGAGCAAAAAGCAGGTTAGATTGATGAAACAGCCGAATTCACTGTGACACTGACATTAATTGGACTCCTCACAGATACCCTGAGTAGTGCATTCAGTGCTGTCAGTAGGGCAGAGACTATTCCGCTCTTCTGGGTCCTTTTGTTTAAAGCAGTCACGGGGCTCTCTGTCCGGGGCCGACGCTAGCTGCGTTACACCCGTTTTGTTGACTAAAGCAGATCAATCTGACAACCGATGAACTCAAATTGATGGTTAAAAAAACAACCAGAAATTACCACGTTTAGCACTGCCGCGCACAAGGCATCAATGTAGAGTATGTTATTAAATATAGCTCATAATTTAATTAATAAAGTCACAAGTCGGAGAGATGTCCACTTCGCTAAAATGAAATAGTCTGTAAGTGTAAGATTAACTAAAAAATGCCAATGGTTACTTATATATATATATATATATATATATATATATATATATATATATATATATATATATATATATATATATATATAAACGAAAGCTTTAAATTAAATCTATGTATAGGCTATTTAAATAAATGAATAAGTCGTTAAAACAAAATGTCTCGAGTTACCATCAAATTTCCGTCCAGTTGACATTAAAATCCATGCAACAATACGATAGAGTGCGTATATCAAGAGTTTGAACAGCCAATAATCACGAACGGAACGGCATGACGTCAAAGTCCCGGTAGAAAAGGCGCGTTGGGTTTGCGCACGTTTGGAGAGGGAAGAGCGCAGGGAACCTCACTGTCTTCACTGGATTACACAAACCAAAAGTGTCCTCAACTCCTCCTCCTTCTCAGTTGCTTACATGCTGATCATACTGCATGCGGGACGAACATCACCACATCCACAGCCAATACTGCATATGACAGGACAACCGTCTCATTTGTTAGAATAAACCCTTGAGCTGATTTTTACGCGCTGAAGCCTACTGAAGTTGGACATTTTATTTATTAATTTTTTTTTGGTGCGTGTGATGATGACAAACTGTCGTGGAGGAGGTGAAGAGATGAAGATATAGCCACTTGCAAAATCTGAATCGTCGTTATAGTCGTTCCTCCCAAGGATTATATACTCTTTTATATTCTTCTGCAATATCGGATTTTTTTCTCGGTGTGCGCGTGTGATGTGCGCCAGCAAACAATCTCCAAGACTGATTTCCGAAAAGGCGAAAAAGACAAACTGAGATCTCCATACTGGCAAATGCACGTCCAAAATGTGGTAACTGAAAGTTGCTCACGGAAGAAATAGGAGGGTCCAGTGTCACACATGTAGAGGGGCTTCAGTAGCTGGTATGTCCTCAAAGCTCCGGAATGCTCTCATAGGCTAAACCAATCTGGGCTGCATGCTTTGCGATCTCTGATATACTCTGATGCATTTCAAAGAATCCGTCAGAATACAGAGCTGACAGTTCTGATAAACGAGTGCCGTTCAGACCGATCAGACACTGCTAACGGGAATTATTTAATGAGAACGAGAAAGGTCATATGAACTGCACAGGGCTAGAAGTGCGTCTCACGGAAATCTTGGGTTGCAGATCTGACGGAAACACGTGCTATTCGGTCTCATCTGCGGCAACGATGCTTTTCCACGGTCTGCCTGGAGGCGAGATGCATGGTGTTATGGAAGAAATGGAGCGGAGAGGAAAGAGCGATTCGGCGACTATCAGCTCGGCCATAGATATGGGGGAAACAGAGACGGTAGGAGAAAAGCCATGCCTCTCGCTCCAGGCGCTTGCCTGGAAATTATAACAGCCTATGTTAACTGAACCGTTATTCCAACAGTGATATAGAGAGGCCCAAAGATCTGATTCCGATCCATTTTAAACTTCAAACTTCTACGAAGCTAAAATTAAGGGCCTTGTTTTCAATGCAATGCTTGTAAATCTTTTGTCATGGATTACAGATAGTTAGGCTACGATTTTAGCAGTCTAGTTTAATTTTGATTGTAATAGTGTGATTATTCGATACAAAAAAATTGTGAAATAACATAACATTAGAAATTAGTAAAATCTCTGTTCGGTTAAGTGTACAAATATCGATATAGTTCAAAGAAATTGTAATTATTTATCAAAGGCGTGCACATGCAGCGCTGCCAAACTTTAAGTTAGTGAATATGTACAATTATAAAGTGTAAATGTTTCATAATATATGAGTGAGATAATTAGGCTATGATAAAATAACCATAAGTCATTGTAATCGAATACAATTAATTATTTTCTGGCCTGTATTATCTGTGATTAACAACAAAACAAGACAATGGCAAAGCTTCACGGTTAATTCCTTTGGCATGACAGATTTTTAGCATTTTCTCTAATAGCAGTGCACTTAAAATATATGTGGCAATTCAAATTCTAAATGTATATAACAAAATGTAAATCCATAACTACACAAAGAAATTATAAAGGATTTAATTTTACGACTTAAATGTGAATATAGGATTTTCAGATTGTTTGCTGTCGTCTATATAAAGCCACAAAACACGATCAAACACAATAAAAACACACCTCTGATTAATTTACTTAAAAATGCATTGGATTTTACGAAATTCTTATGTTAAAAGTGAAAAAACACGCAAATGGATGCATGCACAATATAATACATTCTATCTGTTGTATCCTCTTTATATGCATGATCCTCCGTTGTCACGGGAAATGTTAAAAAAAATTAAAGTAGCCTATATATCGGCTCTTATTCACTCTAAACTTGTGTATTTATCTTCTGAATTTGTTCTCACGCCCCTCCCATTCTATACACAAGTGAGCACTATTTTACTCTTAGCATGTTTTTTTATACCCAGCAAATGCGTAAAATAGTGTTTACACTCATCCCTAAAGCCATTACCATTATAATTTACAAATCTGCCTTTTAATATCATTGCTGCAACATAAGAGAGAATGGTGGAGAAAAAAAATCTGTGTTTGTGTAAGATTGGGATTTGAGTTCGTGCATTTAATGAGTCTGTGTGTTTCCGCAGAACATGCCTTCAATCAGCGGGGATCGGGTGGCTCTGTGCGCCGGCTGCGGAGGCAAGATTTCGGATCGCTACTACCTGCTCGCCGTGGACAAGCAATGGCACATGCGCTGTCTGAAGTGCTGCGAGTGTAAACTGAACCTGGAGTCTGAGCTCACCTGCTTCAGCAAAGACGGAAGCATCTACTGCAAAGAAGACTATTACAGGTGAGCCAACTCATTTGGCTACGTAAAAAGTTGATTTTAAGTTCATTTTTTCGCATTAGGAGTTTAGTTTTCGTTGTGGATAAATAATAAAAAGACAAAAGTTGTATTTTGTAAAGATATGCATTTGTTTGTAGATATATTAGATCTATTTTCTTACTTCAATTTAACGAAAAACAAAGACGCAACTAATTTCCATTGTGGGCATAACAATAATGTTGTTTTAATGTATTTTTTTTCTATTTAAAATACAAAATAATCAATGTCAATATTTCAGAAAGGATTGATTTTACTAGAATTTGTTGTTTGCTCATAATAATCTTTTATGTTTGTTTAAATTAATAAAGCATCGGGATGTTTTTTGTCTATTGCTTTTTTTTTTTTTTTTTTTTGAAATATGATGACGCAATAGGCCTCAAAATTATGTTACAAATTTCAGTAATCTAGAATACTACAAAAAAGTCTTTTCGTAAAAAGAAAATAAAGTAAAAAACGATGCAACATGCATTAATCTCGTCGGAATATATCATGCAGAACTGATTTTTAACGCCATTTAAATATTTACATAACTAAAAGTTACTTATCTAACTCGTTACCTAAAGTAAATATGCTCTTTGTTTGGGAAAAAAACAGCAAACAACCTGTAAAAATTGTCCAAAAATAAATTATTATTTGATGTTTGCTACTTAGCTGACTGTGCATTGATTGTGTATGTCATTGCACAATTGAATAATCAAGAGGGAGGCGAGAGGCCTATTAAGATAATCATATGGCGTTTACCCATCGCCATGCTCACGTCAATCTCCATTGTAAGCAATTTAAGTAATTATTGGAGACGTGATTATTGAGACTGGATTCCACTGCGCGAGCTCACTACATTTGCTCGTGCATGCATCTGTTTAATGCGTTGTTTTACTTTAGCACAGTGCCAAGGATAACATCCAATATTTAAAATACAAATACAATCTCGAATTCTAAATGATGATTGATCCAAAGGGTATGGTGGGAAGCAGCTTATTTAATGTCAGGCTCGTGAGTGGTGGGTCCACCTTCTGCTTGAAGAGTGCTGAAAGGTCACAGCTGCTCTATTCTTCCGCAGAAGGTTTTCGGTGCAGAGATGTGCCCGGTGCCACCTCGGGATCTCGGCCTCGGAAATGGTCATGAGGGCCAGGGATTTGGTGTACCACTTGAACTGTTTCACCTGCACGACTTGCAACAAAATGCTGACGACTGGGGACCACTTCGGCATGAAAGACAGTCTGGTGTACTGCAGGCTACACTTTGAAACGCTCATCCAGGGAGACTTCCCCACGCATTTCAATCACACGGATGTAGCGCCTAATAAAGGACTGAGCAGCACGGGCCCTCTAGGACTGTCTTATTATAACGGCGTGAACACAGTGCAAAAGGGCCGGCCCCGAAAGAGGAAGAGCCCTGGGCCCGGAGCGGACTTGGCGGCGTATAATGCAGGTGAGACCATCGCTCATCTTTGTGTTTTTATTGTTGCTGCTGGTTAACTGTTCTAGTTTAAAGCTTTTGTAAATATTTTTATTATTGTTTTGCACGAGGTGTAAGTGGATTTCCTCTGTGAAAAATTGCAGAACTTTTTAAAACCGCGTAGTAGTGTACGCCTTAGGGTTTACAAAAGTTTTTGGGCGTCACTTTATAAAAACCTCAATAAAATCGCGTGACGAATTTATAAAAGCAAGCTATAATGTTGAAGTTTGGTCAAAAATAATGTTAGTTATTGAACAATATTATTATTAGTTTTAAGGAATCATGGTATAATTAATTAATCGCAAATACACGTGCAAAACCTGTTTTTGGAAATACGAAAAAGGGAAAACAAATGTTTAAAAAGACGGGGAAAATAAAAAAAAAATTATCCAAACCTGACTAAAACTAACAATAGTTAACCTAATTTTAAAAATCTAGATAGAAATAATAAGCCTTAATACCTGCATTATTTCATGGATATTTTTCTTTCGAAATAATTTTAAAGGGCGTTTAATTAAATATAAACTAAATTGAATTCAGTTAAGATTGTTTGTAAACAAAAAAAAAGTCATTATGGTTTTATGAAAGAATGCTTAGCAAAACAGCATAATAATATATTAAATATCTAGTTCTACATTGCATTTAGAAACGTTTCACAAATAATATGTTCGCTCCTTCACTACGCAAAAGACAAAAATGCGCCCGCTTTCAGACAATCGTCACACATCACAGATTTCTCCTGAGCACTTGAGCTTGTGCTGAACAATTTGGAACAACGTGACTTGTTCGCTCGGGCATTTCGGGCCCCTCAGCGGGGCATTTGGGCCCCTGCTTGAGGACCAAACAGAGGAATGATGACGACTACAGAGACTGACAAGTGGAAAATGGCTTAGATGCTATAGTCGAGACCTCCAGAAGATTAAATACAAGCGAAGAAAGAAAGAGAGAGAGAGAGAAAGAAACTTTTCCAGGCGAATTCAGATGAATTAATTAAGCCTGCCACGAATTTTTGGTCTAAAATGTTGTGCACGTGTCTAAACAAAGCATACTATTTTTATAATCGAGCTTTACTAAACGAAAACGCAACAATTCTCTTTGGCTCCAGTCAGATATGCATAAGAAAAGTAGATAATTTTATATGTCGCAGTGGCTTATATATTCAAGACTGCAACTAAACTATAAAATAAAGGTTTCATCATTCCTCCAAGCTATTTTCCCACGTAAAAAAATGTGCAAATGCAATGTTTTTAAACTCACATTGTTTGCTTGCTTTGTAAATCTTGTTGTCTAGAGATTGTTAATTGAAGTTGGCAAATTTATCAGACCCGCGGTCTCGTTTGCTGAACTAAGCAGCTTCTGAAGCACTGTTAAATTTACATGGACGTAAAATGGAGGAGAAAAAAAGAGAGAAATCAAATGAAACGTTTTGAAATCAGATCAACGGTTCGACAAAACACGAGTTAACTAGTGAGTGAACTTTGTTGTGTGTGTGTGTGCTCTCTTGAGTGTGAGACTCAGATCATTGCTGCCCCCATCAGCTCACACTTTAAACAACAGCACGAAGATCAAACCCTGAAAAATAAGAACAATAAAGACATCTTCTTTTTTGTTTATGCATCATTGCAATACTACAGTCACACAAATAATAACTCCGCGTTCAGATAACTATTCCTGGCACGCGTCGCTGTAGTAAAGGTAACAGTATTTCTCAATGACCATATTTATATGAGCAGGAAACATTTGTTCGCCATGTGCAGCGTTGTAAAGCATTCAAGGTTAATTATCCGAAGTGTTGATCAGACCATTTTTCAATGACTAATATTTGTAGTTGTCAGAGAAAACATAATTCTGAACTGTCATGCGTCTAGCAACACATAAACTTCTGCCAAGAATTTGGAACTGGCGCAAACACATTTCTGACACATTCAGACAGGCCTATCTCCTAAACACTTGTGTCCAAGGACGATAGTGTGAGCTTTTTTTTCCACAATCAAATCCTACACAAGACATCATAAAAACAGAATTGAAGATCTGGCCATATGTGGGGGGGTGGGGTTGACATAAAAATGGGAAAAATCCACCAGTGCTGAGGGTTTTGCACGAAAATATAGTGAATAAAAATCAGCTGCATGCATGCATATTTAGAATCAAACTGTTTTAGGAATAAAACAAAAAGAGCATGATGTAAAACTGCAATGCAGGCTTCCACACAATTCATTTATGTTGTATCAACACAAATAAAAAAAAATAAGTGGATTGAACTTAAAACAATTAAGTTTACCCCCAAAAAATGCTGAATTGTGTTGTTTAAAGCTTATTTTAAACAAGTAGTAATATATAAGCAGCAAAAATAAGTGTAAATTCCAGATTATTATGCATGCAATAAGTTGCAAACACTCTAAAAAAATATTCAAAGACGATTCCTTGGATTTACAAATAATTTTTTTTTTTACGTTAAATGGTTGTAAACTATTTATTTGGGCTGAATTTAAGCAACAACAAAAAAATAAGTTGAACATTATTAAATACAATTTGTTTGTTTAAATTCAACACAAATAAATTGTTTGCAACAGTTTTCCAGACATTATGTTGTTTCAGTGCACAAAATCAAGTCAAACTCAAGACTTAACACGATTCTGGAGTGCAATCAAACCTGAGATACACCTCATTCTCATCACAGCATCTCATAACTATTAAAGGTTTTCAAATATGACTCTTCAAATTAATATAATTTGCATGTCTTAGGATAAGTTATTGATATGCAAGGGCTATAAAAAAAGCTAAGCAGCATAAGTAATGCATACAAGAGGATCTCAGCTAATCTGTTTTTGATTATATTTCAATATTCAGCATTGAGCTGCAATGAGAACGATGGCGATCCGATGGACAGAGACTCACAGTACAGCAGCAGCCAGAAGACGAAGCGTATGAGAACGTCATTTAAACACCATCAGCTGAGGACCATGAAGTCGTATTTCGCCATCAACCACAATCCTGACGCCAAGGATCTGAAACAGCTGGCCCAGAAAACAGGACTCACCAAGCGCGTCCTACAGGTCAGAAACAAGTTGGTTCTGCTTTTAGTTTTGCTTTATATATTAAATGAAACTTTGGTCCCACTTTATAAATCAAATTCAAGCTGTATTTGTCAGAGTCATTCACACAGTAAAATAAATGGTTCAATTTATATAAGCTGAGTTTAAACAAGCAAATCAAGTTGAACATCGCTAAATTTAATTTGTTTAAATTCAGTCCGTATAAATTGTTTGCAACCATAAACTTTAGTAAATCCAATGAATAATTTTGATATGCAGTGAAATGCTTACACAACCACTCGTGACCTTAAAACAGTGACAATAAAAACAAAATAAAATACTGATAATGTCAATAGAATCTAAATAATGCAGAAATGGAAGTTATGCAATAAAATTAAAGCAAATATTAAATATTTAAGACTTTCAATATAGTGTATATGGCTGTAGAAAAAACTACAAAATAAAAAAATACATAAAAAAGCTGTCTGTACAAATAGAAAGATGGACATGTCTGGGCACAAGAGAAGAAGGAGTGTATACACTCTAATATTAAGTGGCTTTTAAGTACACTATATTGACTAATATGTACTTCAATCAAAATATAAATACAAAATCAAACAAAAGGTGCTCAGGGGTAGCTTAAATAATGTGAAGGTGCTATTTATGAAAGGGATTTATCAGAATAAAGAGCAAAAATCAGTCTAAAGCACTTGAAAAATGTATTTAAAAGCCTTTATTGACATTGCTATTCCTTAAAACTGCCATTTTTAAGGAAGTTTTAAGGCATAGCCATGTCAATAAAGTCTTTATAATATTTTTCTTCCACATTTTCCAGAGTGCTTTGGGCTGATTTTTATGTTTGATTACAATGTACTTAATGTTTTAATAATGTATTGCAGCTTTAAAGTACACTATATTAACTAATATGTACTTCAATCAAAATATAAATAGAAAATCAAATAAAAAGTGCTAAGGGGTCGCTTAAATAATGTGTCGGTGCTCTTTGGGTAAGTGATTTATCAGAATAAAGAGCAAAAATCAGGCCAAGGCACTTAAAAAAAATATGGAAAAAAATATTAAAAGCCTTTATTGACATTCCTATTTCTTAAAACTCTTATTTTAAAGGAGGTTTTAAGGAATAGTGATCTCAATAAAGGCTTTTTAATATTTGTCTTCCACATTTCCAAGTGCCTTGGACTGATTTTTGCTGTTTAAATACAATATTGTAATAATAATGTATTACATAAAGTACTCTATATTAACTAATATGTACTTCAACCAAAATATAAATAGAAAATCAAACAAGAAGTGCTCAGGGCCAGGGGTAGCTTAAATAATGTGTCAATGCTCTTTGGAAAAGAGACTCATCCGAATAAAGAGCCAAAATCAGTCTAAGGCACTTGAAATTTTTTTTTATTTAAAAGCCTTTATTGACATTGCTATTCCTTAAAATTGCTGTTTTTAAGGAAGTTTTAAGGCATAGTCATGTCAATAAAGGCTTTTTAAAAATTTTCTTCCACATTTTCTGAGTGCCTTGGACTGATTTTTGCTGTTTAAATACAATGTACTTAATGTATTAATAATGTATTGCAGCTTTAAAGTACACTTTATTAACTAATATGCACTTCAATCAAAATATAAATAGAAAATCAAACAAAAAGTGCTCAGGGGTTGCTTAAATAATGTGTCGGTGCTCTTTAGGAAAGGGGTTCATCATATTAAAGAGCAAACATCTGTCCAAGGCACTTGAAAAATGTATTAAAAAGCCTTTATTGACATTGCTATTCCTTAAAATTGCCATTTTTTAAGCAGTTTTAAGGCATAGCCATGTCAATAAAAGCTTTTTAATATTTTTTTTCCACATTTTTAGAGTGCTTTGGACTGATTGTTTTTTTTTTTAAATACAATTAATGTTTTAATAACACATTGCAGCTTAAAAGTACACTATATTATCCAATCTATAACTGTACTTTAATCAAAATATAAAAAGAAAATCAAACAAAAAGTGCTCAGGGGTAGCTTAAATAATGTGTCGATGCTCTTTAGAAACGGGATTCATCAGAATAAACAACAAAAATCAATCTAAGACATTTGAAAAATGTAGAAAAAAGAATAAAAAGCCCTTATTGACATGGCTATTCCTTAAAAACTGCCATTTTAAGGAAGTTTAAAGGTATAGCCATGTCAATAAAGACTTTTTAATATTTTTGGAATTTTTTTCGAGTTCTTTGGGCTGATTTTTTTAAAAAATACAATGTACTTAATGTATTAATGTATTGCGAACACTTCTAGTGTTATTGAGTTATACGAAAGCATCAAAGTCAATTTAACCACATGTACAGGATATACAGATCACTGAAACTGCGTTCCTCTCAGACCCTAGGTGCATAACAGATAATATTAATACAAAACATTTTAAAAAGAAATTATAATAAATACAATAACACATATCCTATAGTTTACAAATATGTAAGTAAAAATAAAAATTGTATACAATACAATTGCAATTAAGGGCATATAGCAAGGAGTCAACTCCTCCGCTGAACTTCAACTCTGAAAACTGTACTGACACAGTTTCAATCTACTAAAATGTCTATGTTGAGCTGCTTTGACACAATCCACATTGTAAAAGCGCTATAGAAATAAACATGAATAGAATGGAATTGAGTGCAAACAAGAGTAGTGCAGATGCAAAGCAGTATGTCCTGCAAAAAGCTTGTAGATATGACAGTGACAGTGTCTTACTAATATACAGGGAGGTAGTATGATGTAACCAGATGCGGGTAGAGTGGGAATTAAGTGTTTGGTTAAGGTGTAAGGGAAGGCCAACAGTGTAATTACATTAATTACAGCAGGCATGTATTAAATCAAGTATAAGTTGAATGTAGAAACATGTATTTACACAATCAAGTACGTTGTAATGAATTACTAATTTCAGTAATCAGTTAAGGCCACTTAAAATAAAGTGGCACCAAAATGTTTAAGTAAAAACACCTTCCTCCATTTTCAGCAATACGTCAGACTGCTTAAATGATTTAAGGAACATACATTGCATGCAAATACAATCACTTGCCTGTTCTCTTTAATGCAATGAAATTCATTCGGTCCTGAAAAAGGGAAGTGTGAATTATTTACAGTGAATTAATGCACAAAGCATATTTGTGTATAAAAGAACCAGCTGTTGGTTAGACTTTGCACTTGTTATCATTAGTTAACACGAACGAACAATGAAAAATATAATTTAAAGCATTTATTAATGATCTAACAATGTTCAGTTGTATTTTCATTAACTACACTTAGATATTTGGACTAGAAACAAGTCAAACTCTATCAATTCCTAAATCAAGAAGCAATTGTACTTAGAAAAGTTTTAAACATACAGTTTTGTTTTCTAAAATATGTCAAAAATGATTGAGTTTTTCACTTAAAACAAGCTAAAACTAAGGTTTATTTTACGTACCCCACTGGTTTTGCTTGTTTTAACCCTTTAACTGCCTACTCTGCCAAAAGGTTGCCCATATTTTGACTGATTCAAATGATTGTTAAAGACATTTTTTTTTTTAAATGACTGTTTTGTCATGAACAATGTTTGAACAATGGCTCATGCTGCATTGTAAAGAAAAAATCACTAATAAATAAAATGTATTATTTATTATAATTAGATATAATAAATATAATTAAATATAAATAAATATTATAATAATTTATTATAATAAGAAATAAAAATCAAACAAATGTAATCCTCTTGCACTGCTACACTTGATTTTGGTTTTGTTATAAAAAAAACTATAAGAAAACATGTTAAATAAGAATCTGAAATATGTTATGGTTTACTTAAAAAAATAAAGATGATTTAGTATTCAAAAATGTTTTATTTTTATAATTTTTTAAAAATAAATTAGTTTAAGACTTGATTTTTTTCAGATTTTCATAGTATATGTATTAATTCTGTTACTTTTAGCATAAACCGACATATCAAGCATTTGGTATAGGCTGATATTTTAGTAATGATGTGATGTGTTGGACAAAATTCATTGAGTGTGTTAACTAGCGACATTAGGAGTTAAGAAATCCAAATTCAAATATTTTTTTTCTTGGTGGGGCAGTTAAAGGGTTAATAAAAAAACACTTAACTCTGACATATTTTAGCATTTTATTCTTGTCAAAAATGCTTCTTGATTTAAGAAATATTAAATATTTGCAACTAGAAACAAGAAATAGCAGTAAGAAAAACAGATTTTTTTTGTTTTTTTGCTGTGTAATATTAATAAAGATAAAAGATATCAAAACAAATGCCAGGTTTACTCTTAATAGATGTGATTACTTGAAAATAACTTCAACCAATGTTGTATTCCACAATAAGTTCAACACTGTTAAGTTGAAATAATGTTAACAAATGTGTACTCATTGCAAAGTGTTGTGGAGTGAAGCTCATAATCGAATGCAACTCACATACCCGATCTCCTCAATGGAATAATATTCATTAGCTCCCCTGAAAAAGAGAGAAATCTAATTAATTACACATAAATCTGCAAATAAAAGGCTCGTATTAAGAAACAGCTGTTCAGCAGATATCACGGTAAAAACTTAAATACATTTAAGTCCCCCCCCCAAAAAACAGAAGTCAAATAAAATCTCGAAGCGCCAATTATCACGAGCAGAAAACAAAGCTGTCGTTCAGTTTGATGAGACTAATGTTTGTCCCATGAGCCTCATGCAATTTTGATAACACTTTACTATAGGGCTGCATTAGTTAATGCATTTAACAAACAGTAGACAATGCATGGTAACACTTTATAATAAGTTTTTTTTAGTTAATGCATTTACTAAGATGAAGTAATCATGAACAACACTTGTACAGCATGTATTAATCATAACTGAACATTTACTAATGCATTATTAACATCCAAGTCCATGCTTGTTAACATTAGTTAATGCACCATGAGTTAACATGAACTAACAATGAACTACTGTATTTTCATTAACTAATGTCTACTAACAAGAATAAAAACTGTAGTAAATTTATTTATTTATTTTATTTATACAGGGACAATGTACAACATGACATGTTGTGCTAGAGTTAGCTATAAGCTAATTTACATCTGTAGTCCCTGGGCAGAAAGTAACAAATTTATTGTTCATTGTTTGTTCTTGTTAGTAAATGCATTAATTTACATTAACTAATGAACCTTATTGTAAAGTTTGACCGAATGCATTTATTACAAAATATTTAAGTTAGGTTTTGAACATATTGTTGTTCATTGTTAATAACAGTAATGTTAACATGTATGAATTTGGATTTTAATCATGCACAATTGAATGTTTAAATATGATTAGCAAATGCAGTCATACTTTACAGTACAGTTTCATTAGTTAATGTATTTACTCACATGAACTAATATGAACAAAACCAGTAAATCATTAATTAATTAATCATATTTCAACAATTGCTAATGTTTCATTAAAATGCATGCAAATCCATGCTTGGTAACTTTAGATAATCCACTGTGAGTTAACATGAACTGTATTTTCAATAACTAATGTTAACTAACATGAACAAATACCATAATAAATGTATTGTTTATTATTTGTTAATGTTAGTAAATGCATTAACTAATACAGCCTTATTGTGTGACCATAAATGCTGTACATGTATTGTTCATAATTAGTAAATACACTAACTAATGAACCCTTATTGTAAGGTGTGACCATAAATGCTGTACAAGTATTGTTCATATTTAGTAAATACACTTACTAATGAAACCTTATTGTAAAGTGACCATAAATATTGTAAAAATATTGTTCATAAATAGTAAATACATTAACTAATGAAACCTTATTGTAAGGTGTGACCATAAATGCCATAGGCAGAGCGTGTGTAAGGCTGGGGAAGGCTTAGCCTCGCCGTGGCCAGAGATCAAGGAGATAGCAGCAAATAAAAGACTGCATTGAAAACATTTAACAGGTATTAGGTGGACGAATGTAATCGAATGTTGATGATTAACAGAACGCTTTAGTTATTGTAAGTGTGTCAATCAAATTTAAAGTCCCTCTCCTGCACAAAAATGGAACTGTCCAACTCTGAAAACGAAGCCAGAAGTGCTGGCCAGACAACTATATATATATATATATATACTATATAAATATAATATAATATAATATAATATAATATAATATAATATAATATAATATAATATAATATAATATAATATAATAAACTTAAATATAATATAATATAATTAAATATAATATAATATAATATAATATAATATAATATAATATAATATAATATAATATAATATAATATAATATAATATAATATAATATAATATAATACAATATAATATAATATAAAACAGTGTGGGCCATTTATATGGATACACCTTAATAAACTTAATGAGAATTTTACAAAAAAAAAAAAACAATGGTGTGCTTGGTTTTAAACATAACTTAATTATTTCATGAGTTATTTACAAGCCCCCTTACACATACTAATGTACCACAAACAGGATGTTAATATCACCAACCATTCCCATTTTATTAAGGTGTATCCATATAAATGGCCCACCCTGTATAATATAATATAATATAATATAATATAATATAATATAATATAATATAATATAATATAATATAATATAATATAATATAATATAATAATATAATATAATATAATATAATGTAATATAATATAATATTATAATTAAATATAATATAATATAATATAATATAATAATATAATATAATATAATATAATATAATATAATATAATATAATATAATATAATATAATATAATATAATATAATATAATATAATATAATATAATATAATATAATATAATATATATTTTCCTTGTGATGGGTTGCGGCTGGAAGGGCATCCGCTGAGTAAAACATATGCTGGAAAAGTTGGTTGGCGGTTCATTCCGCTGTGCCCGCCCCTGATTAATAAAGGGACTAAGCTGAAAAGAAAATGAATGATCATATTATATACAATGCATTATATTTATTATTATTATATAGATTATTATATAGTGGGTGAGTTTAATAAAATAATTTTATGTGCGTGTTGAATATAACAGATGTTTGTTGATAGGCGGTGCTTTTGTTGAAACCTCTATGATAAACTCTGTTCAAGTATTGTTCATAATTAGTAAATATAATAACTAATGAAACCTTATTGCAAAGTTTGACGATAAATGCTGTTCAAATATTGTTCATAATTAGTAAGTATATTTATTAATGAAACATTATTGTAAGGTGTGACCATAAACGCCGTGCAAGTATTGTTCATAAATAGTAAATACCTAATGAAACCTTAAGTGTGATTTACAAGTACATTTTTTTTGTATGCTGTCTGGTTTTCAGGTGTGGTTTCAGAACGCTCGAGCGAAGTTCAGACGAAATCTTCTGCGTCAGGAGAACACCGGTGTGGACAAGGCTTCGGATGGGTCAAATTTGGCTGGAGGAACGCCGTCCGGACCTGCGTCGGAGATATCAAACGCCTCCATGAGCCCTTCCAGCACCCCGACCACCCTCACAGACCTGACCAACCCCACAATGCCCACCGTCACCTCCGTACTGACCTCTGTCCCGGGCAGCCTGGACGTTCACGAATGCCGGAGTCCATCGCAAAGCACCTTAACCAGCCTCTTCTGATGCACAGACACTAACAAGTCACCTTTATCTGCTCCCTAAGAAGACCGATCATGGATGCATCCATCATTTTACCCCACTGCAAAAACAAAAAGAGTTCTTGCTTAGTGTTTCTGTCTCATTTTCAAGTTACAAAAGTGTTAGATGAAGATTAACAAGTGAAAGAAGTGCCACTATTTGCTCATTTACACAAACATAAAAAGACTTTTGTTTCTTGTTCAGGCTACTTATTTAAAATGAGCTGAAACAATACAACTCTTAAGTTTGTTTTGGGACAACCTAATTGTTTTATGTTCAATTCACTTAAATTCGTAAAAAACGACTATGTTAGATTAATTAATGTGTGTTGGGACAACATTAAGGAATCGTGTGGAACCCCACTGTACATTGTAAAAAATCCTGGCTTCCACATAATCGATTTGTGTTGGGAGAACATAATTGAATTAAGTTAGCCTATTAGGTTTTACAAATTTAAGCTGAATGTAGAAGAATTAAGTTGTCCCAAATACACTCAAGAATTATGTTGTTTTAGCTCATTTTGAATAAGTAGTTTGAACAAACAACAAATGTCATTCCCTTTAGAAAAAAAAATGCAGGGTTCCACACAATTCATTCATGTTGTCCCAACACAATTTGATTGAGTTAACTTAACACTTTTTACAAATTTATGTCTATTGAACTTAAACAAATTAAGTTGTCCCAATGAAATCTAAAGAATTGAGTGGTTTCAACTCATTTTAAATAAGTAGTTTGAACGAGCAAAAAATAATAATTTTTTGTGTGTTGTTTTTGGAGTGTATCAAGTAATTTTGCTTGAGTAAATGCATGGTAATTTAACCCTTTATAGTGTGAAGAGTCATATCTGTGACCCTGGACATCAAAGCATTGTTGCATAGGTATATTTCTCAACAGTAGCCAACATTTTTACACAGTAGCCAGATTTTTATCTTAAACATCACTTGGATAGTGCGTAAAGATCATGTCCATGTAGATATATTGTATATTTATTATCATAAATATATCAAAACTTAATTTCTGATTAGTAACATCAGCCTGTCAGTTTAGTGGCTAATTTGTACGAATTCATACGAGTTCAGTCGTACGAAAATGTACGATTTTAAAAAGGAGACAAGGCACCCAATCCTACCCCTAACCCCAACCGTCACTGGGTGATGAGCAAATCATACTAAATTGTACGAATTAGATTGTACTAATTCATACGAATTAGCCACTAAATCCCAAAAATATACATTCCTAAGAGCTTAACTTAGCCAACTTTTCTCAGTATTTAGCTAATTTCGGACCCTCAGATTTCAGATTTTCAATTTTTCACATCTCAGCCAAACATTGTCCTATATTCTTAAAAAGTATACATTATTGTAAAACTTATTAATCTAACTTTCAGGTGGGGAATTCAAACAAAATAGTTTCAAAATCAATAAGAAATCCAACTAAAAATATCCAACCAAACTCACCTTCCTTTCCAAGCAAACCTTTGCCAACTTTATGATCAAGAGGCAAACTAAGTTCCTCTTGGATCTGTAATTATTCATTCATTCATTGTCCTACGGCTTAGTCTTTATTTATGAGGTCCCCACAGTGGAATGAACCACCAGCTATTCTAAAAAAAAAGTATAAATTAATGTAAAACTTATTTATTCAACTTTCAGGTGATGTATAAATCTCAATTTCAAACAAAATTGACACTTATGATTGGTTTTGTGGTCTAGGGTCACATAGGGTATCTTCATTGACATTCATTACAATTTAATTCATATTTTTTAAAAGCCATAAGTGTTCAAAAGTCTTCAACAGTAAGACTGCCGGCTCCCTATAAAGCAGGGGTGCCCAAACCTTTTCTTATGAAGGGCCAAAAAAAAAAAACATAACTGAGAGCTGTGGGCTGAAGGTAAATATATTAAACTTTATTACAAATTTGCCATGGGTAATTTACAAATTGTTACAAAATCATTTAAAAATAAATAGTAAGAATTAAATCATCTTAGACTAACTAATGCATTGCAATGTGTTTTACATTTTATAATTAACTTATTACAACGAAAACAAACAATTCGCTTTGTAACACAATGGACATTTAAATAAATCTGATTCATTTAATTAAAGAGACACGGTGGCGCAGTGAGTAGCGCTTTCACCTCACAGCAAGGAAGTCGCTGGTTCGAGCCCCGGCTAGGTCAGTTGGTATTTCTGTGTAGAGTTTGCATGTCCTCCCTGTGTTGGCATGGGTTTCCTCTGGGTGCTTCCCCCACAGTCCAAACACATGTACTATAGAGGAATTGGGTAAGCTAAATTGTCCATAGTGTATGCGTGTATGTTCTGGTCCTCTAGATTTGAGGTTGAGCGTTGGGCTAACAACTCGCCTCATAAAAACTTAACGTTACGAGACACCAATATGGTGCGGCTAAATAACGACTTCGATACAAATGGCCATGGGAGTAAGTAAGTAATTCAAGCTTGCTTATTTGTAAGCTCATCGATAAAACAAAGAAACAAACGATTACATTAAATTACAAATGGCAGTCTTTAGCCTCCTTTAAGAGCAACCGACTCCCAGCTCAGAGCGGGTTGGGTGTAGTAGGACCAGATTATATGTGGGGGCTCGTCCGGGATGGCAATGAAGTTTGGGAGCGTGAGTGTTATGGAGTGGGGTGAGTGTTGCTCTTTTTGTTAGAGCAACCGATTCCCATGCGGAAAGTCGCCGGTTTGATCCCAGCTTAGAGCGGGTTAGGAGGTGTAGGACCGGCAGGGTTACATTGATCCCATGACCCAGATGGGAGTGAGGTTTACGGGGTGAGTGGAGAGAAGGCCAGCTAGTGAAGTGCTATGCATGTAAACCTCACTCCTCTGACCTCTAGCAATAGGTACTAGAGGTCATGGTCTTTAGCCTCCTTGTTAGAGCAACTGACTCTCATGCAAAGAATCGCCGGTTCGATCCCAGCTCAGAGTGGGTTGGGTGCATTAGGACCGGTCGGTTACATCTAAGGGTTAAGAATCTTTCAATATTTGTACTTGAAAATGAGACAAAAATACTGAGCAGGATGCTATTTTTTCTTTGCAGCGCCGGCCTCAACAGTCATCTAAATCTGAAACTGTTCTTGCAAAGCATAGCTGGTGTTCAAGTAGACGTGCACACCTAGTCATTCACTACATCTGTCTGATACTCAAACCGATCTACCTGGGCATCTTTTGTACCTTTACAGATGTGGGGAAAAAACTAAACGAAATTCAGACTGAAAAAAAAGACACTGCTTTGGCCGTGAGCCTCTTTAGAGTATTGCATCTTTGGCCAGACTCAAGTTTCACTGAAGGATCTGTTGATAATAGACTGATTTGCATTTTTATTTCCATGTGTTTTTTGGTTTGTTTGTTATTTTGGTCCCCAATCGTGTTTACAAAGAGACACTCGAGCTGCAGCTTACGGGAAAATCCAAACCTCTTATTTATATCCACGCACAGGGGTCACGGTGTGAGGAAACTGGATTATAATGTGAAGAGCGAAACTGTCACGTGCCTTATCCTGCAGCGTAGTCACCGAAGCCCCTTTAGCGATATGCTAAACGAACGGCGTGTGTTTTAATTTGTCGAAATGAATCTTCACACGCGTGCAGAGGAAGAGCTGATCGTAATACTCTCATTCCAACATATTACCTCACTCAGAAATCACTGGATATGATTGCAGTACGTATGAACACCCGTCCATCTCATGCACTGGGAGAGAAAAGCCGAGAGTTTGTACAAAAGACAACTCATCGCAAAACAAACACTGATTAATGGAACGAAGCGCTTGTTTTCCCCCTCATTCGGTTAGGTGACTTTTGTTTTTTTGTTTTTCCCTCAACCATTAAGATGTGACAGTGTTGGAGACAGGGTACATGTTTCCATGGTAACCAGAGGCTGCTTGTTGAAATGCTGTACAGTTTTGACAGATTATTGAGAAATTTCGAGTCCACTCCCTGCAGTACAACACCCCCATCCTCCCTCTCTCTCCTCTTTGATGTAAATCTTCAGTTCTGTAAAAAATATTAAAAAATGAATCACTATTTTTTGTGGTGGTCCTCATTATTTCACCAATTTCAAAGCATTTTATGTAACTATAGAAAGACGGTGATGCTGGTGTTAGCGCACATCCACGAATCTAAAGGGTGCTTAATAGATTAAGATGGTGCCAGTTTTATCAGTGTTGTCATGGTAATTTATAATGAAGGATCTCCAATGCAAATCTCAAATGCACTTGTGGTATTTGATACACATCACACACATAACATGGTTTGCATTTTGATCAATAAATTTATTATATTTTATTACTATATTTATATTTATTTTTTTATTAAAATTAAACCAAATTTTGTTCATTAAATGCTGTTTTTTCCTTTTAAAGTTGGTTTTTTTTTGTGCATTACGCTTTGTTTTTCCAATTAATATTGTCTGAGAGAAAAAATAAATCAATTACTGATACATTTTAATTATTTACAACCACTAAATTGTCATTCAGTGTAGTAATAATTTATTCATTCATTCATTCTCTTTCTTGTGGCTTAGTCCCTTTATTAATCCGGGGTCACCACAGCGGAATGAACCACCAACTTATCCAGCAAGTTTTTACGCAGCGGATGCCCTTCCAGCCGCAACCCATCTCTGGGAAACATCCACACACACATTCACACACTACGGACAATTTACCAATTCACCTGTACCGCATGTCTTTGGACTGTGTGGGAAGCACCCGGAGGAAACCCACGCGAAGGCAGGGAGAACATGCAAACTCCACACAGAAACGCCAACTGAGCCGAGGTTCGAACCAGCGACCCAGTGACCTTCTTGCTGTGAGGCGACAGCACTACCTACTGCGCCACTGCCTCGCCCAGTAATAATTCATGCATCTTAAAAAAAATGTGTCTCATATATTAAATCACTCTTATGAAATCACTCATATTCTGGCTCTAAAATATTGAATTCAGTATGATTTGAATTTGACAGGTACAACAAAATGGGACATTTTGCCTTTGACACAAGCTATAGGACCTAAACAGCACCTAAAATGAACATTCATTCCTTTTCCTTCGGGTTAGTCCCTTATTTATAAGGGGTTTCCACTGCGAAATGAACCGCTAACTTATCCGGCAAATGTTTTATGCAGCGGATGCCCTTCCAGCCACAACCCAGTACACACTTATTCACACTCACACATTCACACACACTACAGTCAATTAAGCTCATCCAATTCACCTATCGCGCATGTGTTTACACACTGGAGGAAATCGGGGCATTCAGAGAAACCCACACCAACACGGGGAGAACATGCAAACTTCACACAGAAATGCCAACTGACCAATCTGTGGCTGGAACCAGCAGCCTTCTTGCTGTGAGGCAGCACTGCTAACCACTGAGCCGCCCCATCTAATTTGAATAATTTTTTCAAAACATTCATAACTAAAAACCTAAACTGATTATTTTAAGAGAATATGATGCAATTCTGCTTTGACTTTGGAAACCGTACAGAAAAAGAACATCATTTCTGGAATACAATTATATATTATACTGTAGTTGAAGTCAAAATTATTAGTCGTCATAATACATTTTTATTATTTTTCAAATATTTCGTAAGTGATGTTTAACAGACGACCCGAGTATTTCCTACAATATTTTTATAAGTCTGTCTCCTTTTCATTTGGCTATAATAAAAGCAGGTTTTTTTTTGTTTTGTTTTACGGTCAATATTGTTAGCCCTGTGATGATATTTTTATTATTTTTTTGATTGGCCACTGTTGTCTAATGACTTGTCTAAATACCCTTGCCTAGTTAACCTAGTTAAGCCTTTAAAGTCACTTTAAGCTGAATACTCTCTTGAAAAATATCTAGTAAGATATTCTGCACTGTCATCATAGCAAAACACAAAATAACTTATTTGAAGTATAGGAAATTGTTATTAAAGTTATTTATTAAAAATATTACATTAAAAAAGTATCATCTGTTTGGGAAAAATATACAGTTGAAGTCAGAATTATTAGCCCCCCTTTGATTATTATTAGTATTATTTTTTTCTTTTTTTTAAATGTTTCCCAAATAATGTTTAACAGAGCAAGGGAATTTTCACAGTATGTTGGATAATATTTTCTTTTTAGGAGAAAGTCTTATTTGTTTTATTTAGGTTAGAATAAAAGTAGTTTTTAAAATTTTTAAACACCATTTTTAGGTCAATATTATTAGCCCTTTTAAGCTATATTTTTTCTCCATAGTCTACAGAACAAATCATCATTATACAATAACTTGCCTAATTCCCCTAACCTGCCTAATTAACCTAGTCAAGCCTTTAAATGTCACTTTAAGCTGAATGAAAATGTCTTGAAAAATATCAAATATTATTTACTGCCATGATGGAAATGATAAATTAAATCAGCTTTTAGAAATGAGTTATTAAAACTATTATGTTTAGAATTTTATTATGTTAAAAAAATCTGCTCTCTTTTAAACAGAAATTGGGGAAAAATTTAAACAGGGGGGCTAATAATTCTGACTTCAACTGCATATATATGTTTTTTTAAGTTTTAAAATTCCACATAGGGTTAATGTATGTATATCAGGAGTATGCTTTAAGGAAATAATAACCAGAA